AAACGCATCATGTAAACACCCCTTTCGGATTATTCTGACCTGATTCAGCTCCATCCAAATGAATTTGTAATTGGAATGAGAGAGGTGGTTTATGCTGATTGATAAACTGAACGACACGCATGTAAACATTTAATCCAATCATCTAAAACTGACCTGACTGCACATGTCTGCTGACTTTCACCCACCGGTTTCTGCTCTTTTGTGTAGGGAGGGACAGCAGCTTTGTAGTTTTCAGCAGCACAGAACTTTTCCTCCCGTTCTCTCATTCAATAAAGAAGGAAGACATACAGCCTGCGCTGCTTCTAAAAAAAAGTCCAGGCGTCCCCTGCAGCTGAACCGGAGTACAGTTACATCTCCACCATTATTATAACCTGTCGCGGGTCCATTCTGAGCGCTCAGAAGCTGTTTGTTTATGTTCATCACGGAAGTAGAACTTTTTTGTGTGTTTTTTTTTTAAGGGAGAGTTAACAACTGTGAGTGTCAGTGCTTCTGTTCTGAATAAAAGTCTGGTGCATGTAATCACTCGTCATGATCAGATTGTGCCCATGTAAACCATACATTCCGATTATTTAATCCGAATACATTTCAATCCGATCAAAGAATTTTGTGCATGTAAACATAGCTACTCTGTTCACCGCTACCAACAGATGTAAAAAGCGGATGGAATGCAACATGACCATTCAGACATTGAAAAACATCAGATATGTGTTCATTATGTATCCACACACTGAAAAGGCCTGGGTAAGATAAAAAAATTGATTTGTCACGTTCAGACTGTCAGAAAAAAACCTGATAAGGGTCACAGAGGTGGCAAAACAATCTGATTTGGGTCACATTTCCCTGCAGTGGGAACGTTCCATTAAATGATCAATTATATTTGCAGGAATTAAAGATGTTTGTAAGTACTGATGTTTTCCTCACCTCCTGTGGTTTTGTTTCCTTACCCTAACCGAAAGAAATGGGTTAAGCCTTAACCGTGAAGGAATTTGCATCAATAGTGCTGATATTTCTATTCAATATTTTAGGTCCAATTTCCACTAAAACAAAGTTTTGAAACATGTAGTGTAGTGTCTAAATATCTGTCCAAAAATGTTGAGAGGTCAAGCTTTTGTCAAGACACAAACCCCTTGTGAAAAATCCAGAGTGGAAAAGATTGTAATTTATCCTGAGTTTCTGTCCCTGAGGACCACTGACTCCCTCAGTGCTTCCGTCTGAGGGAGATAAGAGGGGGAAACAAGGCAGTGACAGGAGCAGAATGAACATAGTGAGGAATCCACCTTGAGTCTAGTTTATTGAGTTCACGCTTGGTATCATTCCACAACCAAGAGCAGAGCTGACATTTGACTACTGGGCCTTGTATCTCACATGAGAGAGGAGCCTAGGCTATTGATTTCTGCAGAAGATATAAGCAGCACTGCAGCCAAGATTTGGTGGCAGAAAAAAAAAGATTTTGGTGACTTTTGTTTTCTTGGAGGAAAATAGATGAAAGATGTTTTTGAACCTAAAGTTTTCTTTAAAATTTAGATTTTTACATTTTAATTTTTAAAGCCTAGCCACGATTATTTAAAGTAATCTGCTGATTATTTTTTTGTTTAATCAATTAGCTGATTAGTCACTGTTATTTCTGTCACAACATCCACCTATGCTTCCTGAGGGTGCACCTACTGCTCCAGTACACATCTCATCTCACCTGCTCACACCTGAGAATGTTAACCTGTTTTCCAGTCTCGCTACCTAAAAACAGCAGCCTCTACCCCAGCATGAGGGGCAGTTAAACTGCCCTGCAGGGTGTACACATAGCTTTGTAAGTCCAAACTAAATTATAACTTTGATTAAGGGTGTATTCAGACCAGGAAAGTCCTTTGGTCCATTTGTTTGGTCCGGACCAAAAGTGGACTTTTTTTTTTCCGTTTGGTACGGTTTGCATTCACATTGTGCTTTTTTGCAAACTAACTATAATTTATAAACAAAGCCACATGGGTGACGATCATTGCTCCCATTGGGCAAAAAGTCAGGGGGCGCGACTGAGCACACAGACCCGGAAATAAAGATGGAAGTCCTGCGTGCTGTATTTGTTATGTGCACATTCGTTCTGTTGGTACAATTACAGTACCATTTTGAAATTCAAGAGCAGCTCATTCAACATCGCTTTAATGATGTTTTACTTCTAATTTTGGAACGGCGCTGGCAAATGCGTGCCGCAGCCCGAAGAAGACGACATGCTCTCTGCACTCTGACACACAACATACTAGCAGCAGCATTGGTAAACAGAAGACAGTGGATCAGGTATGATTTCTAAACAATTACTACCACTTCAGAACACTGATTTTTGGGGCTGCATGTTGCGTAATAATACGATTACTTGAATGGAAATGCTACCATTATCAACACAACTCTGTAAAGATACATTTTACCATCGGTAACATCATATCTGTTTAAAAATGTAACGTGTGTRTAACAATTATCTCTAAAAAAACATGTTTTTCCCAACACACTGCTTCATGTGAAGCCCATAACAGCAAGAGCTAACCCTCTAGGGTTCACATTTTATATTTTAACTCTTGTTTACATAAATGAAAAAATACAGCCTAATTAAATTAACACACTTCATTGTAGTTTATGCCATCATTCATATTGCACTATAAATTCATACATCACCACTGCCTACACTGTTTTGCTCAAGTCATCTTATGTGACGTTTTTTTCTTGTTTCACAGGAGGACCTGGGTCAACCCACGTTCACGGGATTGGTGGCATCTCATTCGAACAACATGGACAGACAGAGACTGGTTAAAAAATTTTAGAATGAGAAAATGTACTTTTCAAAACCTCTGCGGTGTTCTACAACCCTACTTAACTCGGCAGCACACAAGGTACAGAAGACCTCATTCAGTGGAGATACGTGTGGCAATTTGTTTATGGAGACTCGCCACTAACTTGGAATTCAGGTCCATCTCTCACCTTTTTGGAGTTGGAATATCAACATGCTGTCTCATCACCCAGGAAGTAATAACAGCTATTAATACAGTGTTGAAACCACATTACTTGAAGAGACCTTGTGCAGCTGACTGCAGGAAAATAGTACAAGGATTTAAAGATAAATGGAGWTTCCCACAAATTGTAGGAGTCATTGATGGTACTCATGTGCCCATCAAAGCCCCCACAAACACACCAGCAGACTATTTTAATAGAAAGGGCCAATATTCTGTCATCCTACAGGCAGTTGTAGACCACAAAATGAGAATATGGGATGTAAACATTGGACAACCAGGACGAGTGCATGATGTTCGAGTTTTTGCTCTCTTCTCTATTTGATCAGATTGAGAGGGGAGAACTTTTCCACATTGGAATGAAACAATTGAAGGAGTAAATGTTCCTCTTTTAATTTTAGGTGATGCTGCCTATCCATTACTCCCCTGGCTTATGAAGCCATTCCGAGAGAGCAGAGATATGACTGTTGATCAAAGTAACTTTAACTACAGACTTAGCCAGGCAYGAATGACAGTGGAACGAGCTTTTGGGCGCCTCAAAGGGCGCTGGAGATGCCTCCTGAAACAAAATGWGTCACACATTTCACTGATTAGTCAAGTCATCTTAGCGTGTTGTGTCTTACATAATTTTTGTGAAGTTCATCATGAGCAATACATAGGAGACGAAAATGAAGAACAGGATGAAGCACGTGGGAGGTGGAGAGCTTCCAGCGCAGGTTCCAGTCCAGAGGGCTCAGGACATCCGAAATGCTCTGTCAGTTCATTTTTCAAGGTTCTAAAGTATTTTTTTGTGTGTATTGTAAGAAATCACAATGGTACAAAGGTAGTAAGACAACTTCAAAGACTGTAACATTAAAGATTGCTCTTACAGCTGTTTGTGAATACAGTCTTTATTTTTATGTTATGAAACTGAACATTTACAAAAATATTTCTTCTCTTTACTATTTGTACAACTTAAACAGATCCYGTTAAATAAAAACTGTACATACCATGTACGCATAAGCTTTATATGAAAGTAAAGAACAGTAAACAGACAAAATAAAAAATGTTTTAAAAAATGTAGCCTTGTATAAACAATCTGTGGCACAAACTCTTATTTTTACTATTTGTACAACTTAAACAAATCCTATTAAATAAAAACTGTACATACCATGTACGCATAAGCTTTATATGAAAGTAAAGAACAGCAGACAGACAAAATAAAAAATGTTTAAAAAATGTAGCCTTGTATAAACAATCTGTAGCACAAACTACTACTTTTACAACTCAAACAAATCTTAATAAATAAAAACTGTACATACCATGTA